GAGACGGAAACAGCTCAGCACCGATGCTTGCCTTCACATTACAACATGAGATCATAAATTAAAGGTTTGGGAGTTAATATACCAACATATGGTCCAGATAAATGAAGCATGAAGCAAAGCTCCCCCTGAGCTCAACGTTACCACGCAAACGTTACATTTTCTTTAACATATTTTCTAAAATTTGTTCCGAATCTGTCTAATTTGATCCCAGAGCATATTTAGCTTGTTAGCTTGTGAGGCCTGTTTGATTGACATGAGGTAAATGTGAGAAAAGGGCTGTGGAGTGGTGTACATTGTGCACCTCAACAATGGCCTAATCAAACGGGCCAGTGTGGTCTCCTTTGCTGTTTTGTCATCAGACTCCATTGTTTGGGGGCTCCTTTTGTAGGTTCGTTCCTTGTTTTAATTGTGCGAGAAATTTACTGTGCATTGTAGAATGGGGGGCTATTCAGTGAGGCTGGCATGCGGCTTTGTGAAGGAGAGGACCACAGCAGAGATGCAGGAAGATTTAGGAGGGACAGGGAAATAGAGAAAAGGCTTTTTTTCCCTGCAGGGTGCTGGAAGCAAACACAACGCACGCTCACAAAGGCTCACAGATGTGCACCCACCACCCACACAGTTTATATCCATATACACAGCCAACAGGGAAGCAGAGATCTCTGACTTCCATGGCTAACCACCTTTATGAAGGATCAGAAGCAAATTATCAGAGCATCCAGTTGATAAAACAACTAATGTGTAAAATATCCATCCTCATGTTTTTTTTTCTTTTTCCCGTTCTCTGCAGCCAGCAGTTGCACTGAACAAAAACCTAAAAGTACGTCCCGCTAGAACAGAATAGATCTACATTTTATTGTCCCATTGAGGAAAGTTCTCAAAAAGGCAAACGGAAATAAAAACTTAACTCATCACTAAAGAAAATTAAAAGATTAAAGTCCAATCAAAATGGGGAATCAACCATCAGAATAAAGAGAAAACTCACCAAGCATCACCAGTTAAGCTCAACAACCAGCTGCTCAGAGCAAAGCTCAACCACCAATCAGAACCAGTAAAACAACTACAAGAAAACAACATTTTCTCAGACTGTCTGTCAGGTCATTTAGAACAATAAACATTATTTCTATCTGAGAAAATGCAGGGTTAACATCATGGCCCTTTGGCTGCTGGTACGATGCTAAAGCTCATCAAATTGGTATGATGATATGCATGAGTCTGGTTCTGGGTCTACTGAAGGTTTCTTCCTTTTCAAATGGAGTTTTCTAGGGATGCACGATATTGGGATTTTGGCCGATATCTGATATGCCGATATTTTAAAACTCATTTAGCCGATAACCGATATCGATACCGATGTTAAAGCTGGACAAAAATAAGTAGTCATTGAAAATAGCAGTTTTGTTATCCATTTCTGACACTTTGAAAAATAATATACTCAAATATATTTTCATATGCTGATATCAAATTGATTTTTAAAAACGCGGTATCGATCTATTTTACTTTCAGAATCTCGTGAAATTTCATTGTTCTGTTACAAACTCTTGTGATATTTTGCAAATTCTTGTGAGATTTTGTTAGTAAAATAGATTGATACCGCGTCAATATATCAACATATAAAAATATGGCAAAATTTTGTGAATTTTCGGGGCATTTCGTAGCATAACGATGACATATAGCAATATTTCATTAGTAAAAGAGATTGATATGGTGTTTTTAAATGGAAATATATCCGCATATGAAGATATTGTGATATTTTGATTTATCAATATTTTTTCCTTCGTCTTTAGAAGTTTTTAAGTCTGTAAAAAAAAGAAGTTTTTGAGGAAGAAGAAGAAGTAGTATTTTATTATTTTTTTTAGACTTTAGAAACTCAGAAGCTGATCAAATATCGGGTTAAATATCGGTGGGGTGGCCGATGTCCGATATTCAGTTTTAAGGCCGATACAGGCCGATACTGATAGGGGGCTGATTATATCGTGCATCCCTAGAGTTTTCCTCTCCACTGTTGCTGCATGCATGCTTTGTGTGAGGGATTGCTCAAGTTTCAGTATCTATTGTCTCTACAATCTCAATCTGTAAAGTCAATATTGGATGAAATAAGCTGGTTTTACTTAAAGAGAACTTTGAACCTTTAATCTGGTTGATCTGGATCTATAAAGCGACCTGAGAATAAATGTGTTGGGAATTGAAGTTGTAGAAAAACAATCAAATAGTATTGAATGACTGAGATGGATGGAGCAGGGGCTTAAACCAGCAACCCACCAGTCGCAGGACCAACCTCTACCTCCAAAACCGCAAAGAATATTTTGCATCTCGGCATTTAGGACCAGAGGCCTGCTGCTGCGGTTGATGCTGGTTTTGCATGCAAAGCCTTTTTTATTAACTTGTTGCAGCACAGAACACATGCATAGATGCCCATTCTAAAGATGTGGCAATAATTAAGGGGGGGTTATATAAATATATAATCTGAAATCGTTTCATCCCATTGCCCTGCCACAAATAAACCTCCTCCTACTTTTTTTTTTTGCTCTCAAGTACGCCATCACTCATACCGCACACATTCAGTGTTTCAAAATGCATGGTGGCCTATTTATTATTGGAGGGGTACTCCAACTGACAAACAAATACCTAGAAATGAAGTCATCTGGCAAGGACATGTTTACACAAACACTGCTGAGCGATTTTATGGCTGATGTTTTCTTGTAAGCCTTTACCGCTCCCCCTAAGAGTTACACCATTTTCCCTCCGCTATTCCATGATCCCAAACATGGAGTTGATGAAAACCCAACCCTACATGCTAAACTGGACCACAAAACCCACCATACCCAATAAGAAAGCTCATTCTGGACAAGCCTTAGGGTCCAGATGTCCCTGTGGAAGAGAAAAGATGGGAGGACCACCAGACTTGATAACATGCTGAGGTCAGACCCGTTAGCTACTTCATCCACTCCCTGTGTCGTCCCCTCTCCATTCTCTTTGTAACCAGATCCTTATAATGAAGCCAGTGTGTATTAGGAGTCAGGTCTCCAGCACCACAGGGTCCACTCAGACTAAATACGTCCAGTTGACGGTGGAAATAACTGTTCTGTGGGAGGATTGCGCTCAGCAGCCGCTCCAGAGAACATAAATACGGAGCAAGCCGCTAGGGCCCCCTTCGAAACAGCTGTGGTTTCATTAATTGTGCGTATGCCTGGGTGGCACTGTCGTCACTCAGGAGTAATCAGCTGCAAATATGTTTCTATTATGAATCCGCCGCAAACAGATCCTCCCCTGAGAGTCTGCTTTTCATAGTCGATCTGCCACATTTCAGCAAATATGACAAACCTTAAGCAGCACAGCAGGTTCTGGATGTTCTTTGTTCATTTGGCTCATTGACTTAGTGGTTAGTCTCAGGCCAACGAGAGCTTTCTCATCCATCATGAGCAGAAATGCAGATGATAAGAGAGGTGGAAACAGTGTGAGGTTTGGTTAGGAGCATGAAATGAAACTGGTTCTAGAAACAAAGTCTATCTGAATAGTTCTCTTTCTTATTCCTTCTGTGCTGAGTAGGTTATTCTTCCTCCTTTTAAGAGGTGTGTTTAATTGAGTCCTTATCTAATACTGGAATGCATGTGGAATGTATTATGACCAAGTGACACATCTATAAATGGGAAGGTTACTTTCATTACAAACTAACTTTCATCAAACTTCTTGAGTTCTAGTTTGCAAACAGATAACCAATTTCTCTCAGTAAATCCAACTGTGTGCTGAAGCCTAGACATGACCGGTAAGCAGTAGTGTTCTTGCATAAATCTTTATCCAAAATGTGCAAGAAAAATAAGGAAGAGGAGGTGTCAACGTTTAGCTACAGGTGAACTTTACATTTTGTTTATAATTGTCCAAATTTTACCTACAACCCCAGTTAAGCCACTTTCAGTTCCTCCCTTACAACAACAGCTGTGTAATATCCCATAGTTTCTCGAGCAACAATTTGTTTATGTTTTTTCTTGGGAGAATCCAGTTTTTTTTTAAGTTTGATGAGTGACATTTGTTTTTCTTTTTAATAAAAGTATTATAGCACAAAAAATGACATAAATTCTAGGAAGGCTCTTTGGTAGAGGCTGTAATCCTAATAGAATATGCCTCTAAAGCACAGCTGATTATAGTCTGATTAACTCTAAGTCATGTGGGATAGGCCTGTGTCTTCAATGAGGAAAAAATGGGTCCGAAAACCAGTTAGAAAATACATCTGGTTACAAAGTCTGTAAAGTCTGTGTGAAAAACGACTTGAGGAGAGGTGTTACTGGATGGATGGATAGATTGATGAATGATGGATGGATGGATGATAGATAGATTATGGGTGGGTGGATTAATTAACGGATTGGTTAAAACCAAAATTATTTACTTTTAGGATTATTTTTCCTTTACAGATATTCTGCAGATGGTTTAAATCATCCTTTGGTTTTCCAGATCTTACTCTGTTGTATTTTCGACCAGCTGGTTTTGGAATGACACAATCAGGTACAGAGTTAGCTACAGGTGTTAGCGATCTGGATCAGGAGGTAGGGATTCTTCCTGTAACCGCTGGTTATCCCGTTTAAAACCCTGCCCCATCCACCTCAGTCCCTGGCTGTGTTCTAATTCAGCGGCTGCATCCTCCGAAGGACAGATTCATTTGCCGTAATCTGCTGACGGATTCAAAGAGTTTTTCATATGGCGCTGACAAAGGCAGCCTTCTTTACTCCGAGCTGGAAGGACAGGTCCGGTGTATCCTCTGTAGACTTTGGTATCCTGTGACATGTTCTATGTGGACTGGGTAGACAAGGTGGGATGCAGCCGTTGAAATCAAACACAGCCACTGCATCCCTGAGCAGGACCCTTTAGCTGCTGTTTGTGGCTCTAACTGTAGAGCTGCTGCTCGGGCAGCTGCAGCCTCTAATTCTTACCTTGGACGACTTTATGAGTCCTTCTGGACAAACAAGAACACCTCACTGAATACAAACTACATGAGAATTTGTTGAGCGTACCTTTTCGGGTCAACCAACTTGTAGAGCTTCCCACTGTGTGACTGCGCCATTCTTTTACTGCTAGCTAGTATGTAGACTTCCCCTGCAAAAGTGAGACAGGCCAACAAAAACTTCCTGTTAGCTTTGCATGTCTACATTAAAAAATGTCTACATGCAGCATTCATGCAGGTCTTTGCATTTATAAAAAGAGATAACGTGGGACAGGACAGGCAGGATGAAAGGAGAGGACAGATGAACAACATAAGTGCAGCTAAAGCTTCCACAACGCTCCTCTTGCCAAGACACTTTAAGGAAAAGTTTAATGGGACAATTGGGTACTCATGACTGGGAAACAGGCGGATAATTTAATGAGGAACGAGCCTGCAAGAAAATTCCATACGGGGATAAATTGTAAACATGTGTCTGTGAGGCCCCTTCTTTGGGACTTATGATTCTAGCGTTGCTGGCAGAGCTCGATCCACTGCAGGAATCTATAAAAAGCTCATCAAATAATAACTCCAAGATCTGGCAATAACAGCCATCCAACATTTCTGAGGCCTGTGTGAGCAATTCACATCATATGTACATTTTGATTCAAAACAACACAGCTGACAGTTTACCGCTTATGAAGTGTCTGGTGGAAGTCCAGCTGGCAGAAGCGGCTGAGATGCTATCCATCTCTTCGTCTCCATTTACCTCAAGTGCCTTACCCTAATGCTCATGTTATCCTGTTAGCAATCCAGCCAATTAGTAACACAGAGCATTGCTGGGATGTCATTTTGGAGCCATTCAATATTCAGCCTAGTTTCCATGTTTTTGGACGTTGCTCTCACCCGACAACATGTTTTACACCTGAAAACATTCCTACCAAGAGCTACCATGATTCTGCTTCCTGGCCCTGACCCGGAACCACACTGTGACTCTACCGTCCATGCACCACTCCTGACCCCATCAGGCTTCCACCACCGTCAAGCTTGCTGCACCACTGAGGACCATTCATTCTGGCTGCATTGCATCATGGAGTAAAAGTGGCTTTTTCTAATACACCTAAAATGCTAAAGAAACACTGAACGACCTTTGACCCCAGTATTGCATTGATCTCATATATATTAGGTGGTTTTTCTAGTCATATTGAGCACTTGGTGCAAATTGATGCTCTAAACAAAAACTCTCCTCCATAACTTAGATCAATGCTATGTACCTTTTAGCCACTAGGGGCACTAGACCCAGGTTTAACGCCCCTGAAAGCAAGTGGTGACACTGAACTAGGGCTGGGAGAATAATCAATTTGTTTTATAAAGATTAAATTCTTGGAAAATCTAGGTTCTTTTTTTTTCCACCAATGGACTCCTTGGGCTTCCATAGCTAAGACTGACATCAGTATACATGTGAGATTAAATAATACTACTTATACTTCAACAATAGTATCAAGGTGCCACTTTATTTATCTCTTATACTATATCTGTTGGTTGTGTTTTTCTTTTTACATCTCTTTGCAGAAGCAGACTGAAGATGTTTTATCATTATCTCCCTTTTATCTCCTCTTTCTTTCATATTTTCTCCTTTTTCCTGTTTTTCCTTTCCTGTTCTGCTTACATTGCAGTGTCCATATAAACTGTAAAACTCCCTGCATATAATAAAGCAATTTATATGCATAAATCAAGCGGAACACTATGGCGATAGCCGTACTGCTCCACTTGTGAAAGCAAAATTTGTTGGGCCCATTTTTGGCATCAAGGCAATTATTCTTATTGCCACATTGCCAGGACACTATTTAAAAAAAAAAAGATATCAGTCCATAACTTTCCAGAGGGGACGATTGAAATAAGAGCTAGTTGTTGAGATTAATGACTGTAATTTTTCATTATAAAACAAAAAAAAATGTTGTTATGAAAGGGAGAAAAAAAACTGAGGTTAGATTTGTAGGCATTTCACCCAACCCTACATTGACGTGTCTCTAAATGAACCAGCCTCCCTGTGTGTTCTGGTTCTGATAGAGGATTAAATTCAGACCAGCAGATTGAGATGTCATCAAGTTTCTCGTTAACTAAAGGAAAAATTCATCTTCTAGATGAAATCATCCATCAGGGAACCAGAAATAAGTCTGATCAGCTAAGGCAAGGCTAACAACAACTATCAGCTTAGTTCGCTCTTGTGACAGAAAGCGTTTAACAAAGCGGTGCTCTTGGTCACATGACCCATTGAGAGACAGATCAACGCTCTGAGGTTACAGAAGAAGAGTTTATGAGAAGAGCAGCCCAAAGGAGGAGCATCGATAAGCAGCAGGAGATGAATATGGTGCCGACTAATCATTTAATGTCTCATATTAGGGTGATACTGGGGTCAAAGGTTAACCAGTGCTGCTATAAGTGGGTTGGATTCCAAACCAGAGTGGGAAGCTAGTTAATTTAGCCACAGTGCAGAAATGGCAGTGGCCTTCAGGGGCGTTAAACCTGCAAGCCAAATCAAGCGCCTGGCTAAAGGCTCCAGTGTTGCTTTAAGAATTACACTTCTGACTCTCAGTTATTCAGGTACTAATTATACTGGAGCCTAGTTTAAAATAAACCGGTGTTCCTAGGTTGACCTGGAGGATATTTCACCTCTGTGAAGATCATTATGTATTGAATGGCATCTCTAGCTGGGAAAATGTTATAATGGAAGCATATGGACAACTAAATTACAAAGAAAATTTAAAATACGTAAAAGAATAAAAGTAAAATAATAAACCCCAATAATGTTTTTGTAACGATTCATGATTTAAACACTAAATTTGATTAAAAAAAATACATCATGGATGATCTAAGAACAGAATAGAGGTTGACTGAGTGACTTCGTCGTTCATCAGAGAGGAAGATGGGATACTGACCGAGTTCATCCTCTCCAAAACCCAGGACGTGCCCAACGAGGGCAGAGCCGCAGGAGACCGAGCCCAAACACAGAGCCTTCTCCTGCCACTGCTCACCATCTGGGGATGTGGCAAACGGAGACCTCTGAAGGATCCGCAGGTTCCTGAGGCAAACAAAACACACAGAGTGTTCAAAAGCGTCTTTATCGGCCGCACAATCAGGCTACAAGTGGCAGAGTTTGAATTACTATCAGGCTGAGCTCCTACTTCTTATACTACAGTTCAAGGATCAATCTCCTTTTCCAACCAAAGTCACCACTGATGTTATTTAAGACCTCAGCTTTAGTTTCAAAACAAACATTGTGCCGGGGCTTTTCTTCAGCCGCAGCGATTCGCTCCAAGATTGTAATGAGACCCAGGATTCAGCGACCACACATTGTTTTAAACGCTGTGCCAACTCCTGATAGCGCACCAGCACAATATTTACTTCCTTTGCTTACTCGAGCATCAGAGCTTGACATCAGCAAAGTGGGATGAATTACAAACCGAGGAAAAGTGTGAACAGCACAGGACAGGATGCTAGTCTCAATTTACACTCATTGGGCAACTCTGCTGTGGTGATAGTAACAGAAAACTTGTTTTGCCTATATGGGTGTAACCGGGTTACAGCATCTGTCAATTAAAGGGACAGCTCCTTCATGGCTCCCTATTCTATCTGGTCCATTTTCCTTCTGATAATCTTATATTTCCTTATGAACTTTGATGGTTTTTGAAACCCTTTTCTTGCAGAACAGATGTTTTTTCAGCCCGTTTCCTGTTGGAAAAGGAATCTGGAGTGATTTCTGTAAAAAAAGCTCTCAGAATTAAACTCTACTTATAGAAACCTGGATCATTCTCCTTATGAAGCACATCTGAAATTAGGACTTTTGTTAAATGTCTGTCTTTTTTAATCCTTACCCATTTCTGTCTCCAAACACATAGCTGCCATAGAGTCTTCTCGACTGACAGCCCCTGTAGATGAAGCCCCCCACAGGTGGAGCCCCTCCACTGGACTGCAGGTCATAGACTGAAGGCTCGTTTTCTGTGAAGAACAAGGAGATGCAGGTTTAATTTAAACCCCACTGATAGACTGAAAACCTGCAAAAACTCCTCTTGCATGGCATCAGATAAACACTTTTCCCTTTCTGATAGGTCTTTATAAAATCTGTTTTATTTGTAGTCTGGAACATAGTCTCCACTTCACTGACCACCATAAAAGGACCAAGTAGCCGAGTACAGTTAGCTTCCAACCTATAAGCATGGCAGCCTCTCATTTTATTGAGTTACACTAGAGTAACAAACTACATCTGAGATTGTTTTGGAAAACATCTTGAGACTAAATCGATCATTTTAGAGACCTGCATGGCTTAACAAAAGCACGTAAAACTAGGATGACAAAGGAATAATGCTCTGATAAGGTTTCTTCCCTTTTAATAGGGAGTTTTTCCTCTCCACTGTCTCTACAAGCATGCTTAGTGTGAGGGATTGCCTTTGAGTCAATGAATCGATGTTTTCCTTAGATAGAAAACTTTGAATCAATTTCGCTGTATGATTTGGTGAACTGTAAAGTGCCTTGAGATGACATGTGTTGTGAATTGGCGCTATATGAATAAACTGAATTGAATTTAATTGATATGCTGCTTCTGGCCCCCACTCATTTGACCACAACCTCTTTGGCCCCGCCCCGTTCAGCCCAGCAAAAGTCAACCCAAAACAGCTGGACATATCAACCTCTTGCACTTTGAGGATTAGACCAACCAGAGAACGGGAAATGGCAGTGATGGCTGCTTTCAATTCCCCGCCTCTAGTGGCTTTACTATTTTCTTCCTGGTTTTGATGAGTAATGTTAGCAAAGCATCTTAAAGGGGAACATTCATGTTCTACTCACCCATAAGTCTTGTGTCATTTGGAGCTGTTCTGAAGATATTCCGTTATATCTAAGTAACGTCTTCCTATGGGCAACGACTTGAAGGCACAAACTAAACTGTTCATAATTTATTCTTTATGGTACGCCAGCGTGAATCACTGCCAAATATCCGCGGTTATATTTTTATCTTTTAAAAACGAAGCGGCGCATGTATGACATCATCCGCGTGCGCCAACTACCGTTCATTCTTCCTGTCCGGTGAACTGCTGCTAGTTTTCCTCACATGCCTGGAAGATGTCTAGTGCTACTACCACAGATGATCTCGCTCTCCAAATGGAATCAGACGATTCAGATTAGCTAGAATGAATATAAGGGGTAGAGCGTAGCCGCATGTGGCCCGGGCTGCCTGTTTTGACTCCAGTGCGCGCGTGTATGACGTCATCCAATATAACCGCGGATGTCTGGGGGCAGTGATTCGCCTACATGTTATGAATGCTGGCGTACCATAAAGAGTAAATTATGAACAGTTTAGTTTGTGCCTTCAACTAGTTCCCCATCGGAATATCTTCAGAACGGCTCCCTATGACACAAAACTCATATGGGGGAGTAGAACATGATGTAATAACGTTAAATCAAGGGGCCAATGTAAAAAAAAAAAAAAAAACGGCGTTCCCCTTTAAGGCAAGTAAAAAATTGGTTAAGTAAAATTATCCATTAAATAGTTTAATACAATCATGGATAAGTTCTAATAGCAGGAATCATGTTCTATAAAATTATGATGATTAATGTTAAATTTTGAACTTTTTTGAGCTAAACTATGTTAGCTTCACTCATATTTGCAAATCTAATTAATTTAAATCTATTTTGTAGTTTTTGTCCATTTTTGTGGTACAGCTGGAGGTAAAAGTGTCTAAAATATCAAACAACATGACTCACGCTTTAATGAGTCTTATTTTTGTCACAGCTTAAGAAGAACTAGATCCGTCCCAGCTGTTCTTTGCAGCACTTAGGCATCATCTTTACAGCCATTACTGTTCAGAGCTTTGAAATTTTTCTCTGGGACCAACTTCCACATTCCTTGGACTAAGACAAAAAGTAATCTGCTTCCAGTCATGCTGTTTTCCATTTATTCTTCATCATATGATTTCTAAATTTGCTTCTGAAACAATGAGCTGCTGTGAAATGAAAGCCATCTAAAACAACAGATGTCGGTTTTCATGGAATAAATATCAAAGTTTATTTAAAAAGATTAAGTCAAATGGAAACAGCGTCAATCCAACTCATGCAAAGGTTGTGCTTGGTTACTGCTGTGGACAGAACTAACTTTTTAAAACAATGAGATATTCCTGAACATCAAAAAGTAAATATTATGACTCACCATAATCCTTTCCCTTTGTAACTTCTAATATTCTTCCTGCTGATGCGTTTTTACCGCTGGCATCTGTGCAGAGAATAACAAGGCTGCCATTGTCTGTCTGTAGGCGATCCACTGCACACCTTCAGAACACAGAACACAACAAAGAAGTTCAACATATTCAGTCTTGTTTCTGCTGCAAGATAGCTTTCTGCTAGACCAAGCCAAGGAAATAATAGGTCTGGCTGTTTTTTATCAATTCATTTAATTTTATGTTTATGAAGATTAAATGTTTCCCCACAAATGTCTCTGTTTACTGATAAATTAGCTGCTAAAATTTAGGGCCTGATCTTCTGAAAGCCTGCATGTCTTTAAACAGGTGCAATCGTGTTTGTTCACACAGACCAGATCACTATAAAAGGTTCAAACTGATCTGTTTTTGAAACTCAGCAGAGAACGTCTGCAAACCTTTTTTGCGTGTTCGCTTTTATTAACATGCAGTTCATATTCTAATAACTAAACTCAAATTCATGGGTGGAGGAAGTGCAGATCTAAACATTTTCCATGTGCAAAGAGATTTTCCAAATCTAAAGCTGAATTGCTGCCACAGTTTTTTTCTTTTTTAGCACTTCTGAAAAACCGACACACAAACATATCTGCAGGCACTGCTGCCAAAAAGGAGGGATTGGTCTGATTAAAGAGATTCTGAGAACATGGAAACATATTTGGACCTACAGAATTAATGGAAAAAAGGCCTATGCAGGCCAGTGCTTATTAATGCAGTTTAACTCTTTATAGAGTTAAACCAAAATAAACAAAAAAAATTTATCTATCTTTTTGTTCCCCTTTAAATCATGCTGTAGTGTGTGTTCTACCATCTCAAAAAAATGTCTGTGAAAGTTAAAGGTCCAGGGGTATGGATGCAGATGCCTGACTTACCTGCCTGGGTCATGTAATCCATGTGCAAAGATCTCCGGTGGCTGGTTGGTGCTGTTAAAGTACGGATTGTTGGGTGGTATGGAGTAGGGGGACGTACAAATGTCTGTGTCCACATCTACCCTGAGGACGGAGCCGGTGAAATCGCTGCATTCAAACACACACAACCCTCTGTCACCAAACATGGTCTGAACCTTCGCATTAGGATTCTTTGGGGAGGTGATCAAACCTGAGTCCATCCATTTCCTCCATGTCGTCCAGAGTGATCATACCATCTCCCAGAATGATGTGCAGCAGACCGTCAGGAGAGAACAGGAGCTGACCTCCCAGGTGCTTCCTGTGCAGCTCGGCTACTTCCATTAGCACACGGACGGTCCTGGGGTCCACCTGGTTTGGGTTTTTCCTATAGAAAAAACATAGGCAACTCTTAACTTTCTTCATAGAGCAATGGAGACTTTCCTCGCAACTGCAACATATTCTCATTATCAGTTCATATGAAATCGTACAAAAAGTTATGCACAGTATTTTGTACGTTTCTCAGTATCAGTTCGTATGAAATCGTACGAAAAATTAAGCACACCATTTCGTACATTTTTGACGTTTTTCCTCGCAAAAACAGATCAGTGCGCATGCGCAGCCAGACAGACGAAAAAAGCAGATCCGCGGACGGACGTAAAACTGGGAAAAACAGTGTAATAATCTCTTCTTCATGTCTCTAACTAGGTTGCTTGCTGTTTTGTATCTTAGGGTTAGGGTTAATTGTATGTTAAATTCTATGTTATTTAATGGGGCGTAAGATTTGCACGCTCAACGATATCTTGTCTCGAGGCAAAACGTAAAAATACGACGAATTGCTAAGAAAAAAAGGTCAAAAACGTATGAAATTACTGCGCATAACTTTTCGTACGATTTCATACGAACTGATAATGAGAATACTGTTCCTCAACATCCCTACACTTTCATTTTCATTTACCTTCAACCATATTGATTCACACTAAAGATATTAAACAACAATTCAGATTTCATCTAATTACATAATAACTCAGAATATCATAAAAGATGGAAAAAATCAGAACTTAAAAAAACACTTTGGTGTCTGAAGACCTTTTAGTTTGTGGGCTGTGATGTCTTAGACAGGGAAAGCCGCTGGGTGGGGAATAACGCAGACATCAAGATGCTGCAGAGTCTAGCTGTGGATTTCGTCAGATAGAGACGTCATCTAATGCGTTGTAATAGGTTACGTGTTATTTCGGGTAATTCTAGGACTCTTAAAAAGGAGATTGCCAAAGAGAAAAAAACCCATATGTGCTCTGAGTGCAATTACTTCATAGGAATCCTCCATTAAAAGACTATGCTGCAGTCACTAGGACTGCATGGCAGTACTATAATTAAGTACATTAGACAGAAAAGTTTAACTCCTTCGTGAGAAAACTTAGTTATTTTAAGCATGAGGAATGATGAAGTGAGTGTGAGGTACCAGCCCAGGTAAAACACTCATCATCACAGAGGTGCTGCTCAGCAGAACAAATCTTAGTGCTGTGATTGCATTAGAAATCCACATTACACAAGTTCTCAGGTGTTTTCTCTGCATCTTTAGGTAATTGCAGTGTTGAAGTTACTGTTGCTAAAGTCAGTACTTAAACTTCGATGAATCTAAACTGTTTTTAAGAATCTGTTTGCAGAACTTTTTACAGTTTGTATCGTTAAAACAGACACATCTCTGCATCTTATTGGGTGTTTCTAGGTTAGACAGATGCTTATTATTGAAGAACTGCTGAGTGAAGCAAAATGTAAAAGATTTTAAATATGTTTGTGCCTTAAGCAACTTTTACAGGAGGTACCCCACCGCCTCGGCAGGACGCCACCGTTTTTACAACACACATGGCTGTTAGGTTCCTTCAGACCAATTTTTTTATATTTCTTCATTAAATTACATTATTTCAAAGGTAAGGAAATTTAGTTCTACTTTTTTTTCAAATTTCAAGCTCTCTTTCATAAATGACCCCTGACTGCTGTTTGTAAAGATGTTAAGACATATATATATATATATATATATATATATATATATATATATATATATATATATATGTAAATAAAACATGGAAAATCCTTCGTCATCTTTACCGTGGACAGGCTGCAGCCATGTCCCGAATTCCTCGTTTTCCAGACACTTTTTGTCAAAATTGGCATTTTCCCCATTCCCTAGCTTTTTCTCCACTTTTTTAGATAAAGCATTTTAAATGCCACAATAATCACATTAAATTAATTTTAATGAAAATTAAGGCCTTAATTTTAAAAATAATATTTTAATCACTTTTAATGATTTTTAATGACCTGCGGAAACCCTGTCAGAGTAACGGACTGATAACTATTTGGACATATGTGAGAAACATTTGAGTTGAGGAGCTCAAGTCTGCACCAAGAAAACTCTGTCATGGACGCTCATTCTAAGTGCGCTACCAGGCAGGTGAACACAGGTGATCCCTGCTCGCCACCAAACAGAGAAAGCAACAATGGATGCAAGTTACTGATTAATTAATTAATCTAAAGGTGATCGATCCTATCGATTCACTAACCATTAATTAAGCTCCCATTTTTTCAGGAGGATCTTCACATGAGATGTAGGGCTAAAATATTGTTTTGTATATGAAGAGTTAAGAGATTATAAATCGTTACGTTTGAACCATTTTTTGGTTCATCTGTATCAAATATTGACGAAAATAAACGAAAAAATCTTACACATTACTAACGGATTACAAACAGGGAGTAAAATAATGTTGTGTTGGTTGAAGGTGAATTCTTATTAATCATTTACATCATATGTTGCACCTCTTGCCGCCATCAGTATTTCTCATAAACTTTTTTTTGGATCAAATTGTCTTTCATTTTACATTATTTTTATTCATTTTATTTTATTTTTACTTCTGTAACAGTGCAACCATGGCATTTCCATCTTTCTTTATTTTTTTGTCCCACTGCTTGGATTTTCTGGTCCTTTAGTTCTGCTGCTGAGCTCTCAGTCAGCAGAACCTTGATCCGCGAACCTTTCAAGTTTTTCTTCTTCGTCTTCAATGTAATTTCTGCGAATTAACATGTCTGGGAAGTCATAGCCTTATATGGCATTAGTGGGGAGGTAATTATGCAGATTTACGTTTGATGGACTGCCTCCACCAGCCAAAGACTGAGCTCTTCACTATGGGCGATAGGGCCTTCCAGGCAGTCGCCCCACGGCTCTGGAATGCCCTCCCAGAGTCCCTGAGGGCCCCACAATCTGCAGGGGTCTTTCAGAAGCGTCTAAAGACTTTCCTGTTTAACACAGGCTTTAACACCCACAATTTTAAAGTCAGCTATATTTTATTCTATTGTCTGTTGATATTTTTCCTCATATCTAGTAACTGTTTTAAACTACCTGTTACTGTGGCATCTTGAGATTTCCTTTTAAATTTAAGTGCATTAAAAAAAATGTATTATTATTGTTACATTTCTCTGAAACACGTGCTCACTTATGCACAGGTAGACTGCATCAGGTTTATAAGGATAATTTACAAACATTTACTGAAGTTAAGAATGTTTTTTGAATCTTCGCTGGAGAAAAAGGAAGAAATATTAACAACAAGAATGTGAAAATGTTGGCTTGATGTTTTGATCATGCTTTTAAAACAGAAAAGTACATTTGATTAAAAATAAATAAAATGCACATTAAAGCTGTGTTTGTGGAGACTCCACTACCTTGAAACGGTGTATTCGACCACTCTGAGAATGTGGTCGTGTGGTCCTATGGCCCAGCGCTCTTGGTTGGTGGTGTAGGAGACGTAGAGCTTGCCATTCTTCTTGTAATTGGGGTGGAATGCCAGGCTTAGCAGGCCCCTTTCATCGCCACTCTGCAGTCAGATGAGAAACACAAAAGATCCAGGAGTTAATCATGTCCCTGCTTGGCTTCTGGAATCACCCCCCTCCGTCATATTCATCATCGCTAACATGCCAGCTCCACACACCCAGCACCCTCCTTTCTCCCTTTTTACGTGTCTAATCCTCTTTTATATTTGTCCACCACATTCCCCTCCACAGCTCAGCTTATTATCTCATTCTCCCTTCTCCGACTCGCCGTTGTTCCGCTTCACACCTTCCTCTTGAATATACCATTACAGGCCATTATAAAGCGTTTGACTCTGGGCAGAGCTGCACCATCTCTTCACCCCCCAGGCCCTGCAGAGCTGGGGGTTGCCTTACGCTGGCCTCCATTGTGCTGTGATTTGTGTGAGTAATCTTTGGGGGATATTTGTGAATACTACGCTGAGTGGCTGAAAGAATTTATTAGCTCACTCACAGTTCATAGAGAACACAAAGAGCGGAGTGCCTCACTTCAGCCTGTGCTTTCTGCTCCTTCCTGATTCACTCAGAAATGCATCGAAAACCCAAAAGGGGGGGGGGGGGGGGGGGGGCAGAGTAAAAGTGTGTGTGGGGGGGGGGGGGGGGGGGGGGGGGGGGAATAAAGGAAACCTAAACAAGGAGAGAGCTGCCAACTCCCACTGTCTTGGCAACATGTTTAGAAAACATCTAAATTGCTTGTGTAATATGTAAACCTTTATCTCACCCTTGAGGCCGTTACATCAGCTGTCACAGCCCTGGTGGTCTGCCCATCATAGTCAGCCATAATAATCAGCTATAGCGTTTCATTCCCCAAGCAAACAGCCCCTTCCTGCTATATACCGCATGTTTTCTCTGAGACTGAAGCTGAGCTGTGGTGGATGTTTACAGGTTCCCACTGTGTGAGGATGTTGCTCCGATATGGATGTGCGTGGTGTAGACTCACAGACAGACAGCAGAAATAAGTAATAATGAGAAAAAGACACGTCTTTGTTTGGGCGGGCCTCGGAAAGATCTGGCCTGTAGCGAATGCACAGCATAAAGCAGTCTACTGGATCTGGTTCTGTTTGGGGACCCACCTTAAACACATCCGTGAAACCGACTCGATGCGCACGCTTCATGATCCAATTAGGATAATGTTTTCACAACATTATAAAGAGAATTACTGAGATAGTTGCAGAATAACTTGATGCTCTGAAAGTCAATAAAATGAATAATAATAAAAAAGGTAAATTCCTAAAGTTAAATTAAAGTGTGCTTCATGGAAGGAGCATGATGTAAGGATGGCTTTCTGTTGATGCAAAAATGGCTCTGTTTGGCCAAATAATGAAAAAGCTTTAGATACAGAAGAGGAAGCGTGAACTTTGCTTTGAAAGGTTAGATCCATACCATGGAAACGGATATGCACTGACCCACATTCCCAAAATAAACCAGTGACAGGGAATGGACCAGGGGCATACAACGCGAGCCAATCGGACCACCGGGATACACGGAGCTTTACTGGGCTGAAATATTACCTCCTTGCTAATGACTGACTCCTTCAGCAGAGGAGGAACAGCAGGACTGGCACCAGAGCCATGGGGAACAAACACCGCCGTAGAAAACAGTCTGAGGAGGTAGCTCCCCCACAAGAACACAGAACGACACTTCGACTTTTCTCAGAGTAAAAAACACCATCTAAACTGCAGTAGAGGAGGTTTAGTTCCTCACAGGGTCCAGAGAAGCTCATCTCCAGTTTACCACCAAGTATCACAGAACAAATGAGGAACCATCGAAAGTCTGAGCCTGAGTGCAGGTTTATCTGAGATGCAAGTTATTGTTAAAATAACTCTTGGGTTATTTATGCAAAAAGAAAGCTGATAGAAGCTAAAAGCACATAGATAAACATGATATTTAAACGCCTCTTCAGTGTTCTAACTCTTCCAGGAAAGGAGCAGCATCTCCAGCTTTCCAAGCAATTGCCTCCAGGTTTTCTCCCAGACACCTGTTGCTAGTCTTCTACTTCCTCTGCTTCTCTAGTTAAAGTCTGACACCATTATACAGAAAGCAGAGACCTGGTGGTTGCTGTTATCTTAAGGTGAGGAAGATAAATTTCTCAAATAATGTGAATGACACTGACAGAGGAGCTTATGTTCCATCCTAGGTGGCATCTGTGCTTTTATTTGGTAAACGTCTCAATAGGAGGAACCTTTATAAAAGGTTGGTCAGCATCCTCTCACTAAATGAAAGGTTCTGTCTAATAAAGCAGATGAGATGGATGTCAGGTGTTCAAAGAGCATGAAGGCAGCACAGTCACCTGCCTTTGAGTAAAACCCAAACTACAATTTAACTCTCTAAGTTCTCGGCATTCCTTGTGTAGGCTTTAAATGAGTAAATAGTAGGACACCATCTCAGTCACAAGCTGCATACTGAAAGAGGAAAAATTAAGATCAAGTCTCTGTGGACCCATGCATTTTAGCTCTTAGCAATGAAAACAGAATTTGACTCTTTTCTATCCTAATTGGTACAGAAAAGAAGCAGAATTAGAATTGAATTTTTGATCACATATCCTGACATTGTATCAAACGTGTCATAAGAAGACATTTGCTGTGAATTGTTCCTTTCACTTTTAGGAGTGCAGCAAGTGTGTCCTCCCGGTTTTAAGCTGGTTAGTCATTAACATCTTCACCCCAATACTAAGGGTCACATGTGGCGGGTCTGAAGCCTGGGTATTCACAGATATATTAATGTGTTTACCGACATTGGGTCGAAATCAAGAAAAAATAAATCTATTCGGTTTCCCTCTTGTAATCTGCTGATTTTGCGTTTGGCTGGAGGAGAGCAGCCGACAGACATCTGGTGTCTGCGCCTCCCTGGTGGAGGTGTGCTGAGGTGTGTCTGTCTGTGTTTGTTTGTACCGTAGCATGTTACTGCTGTGAAGCGATTGGTAAATAAAGTTTTATAGCTCTGATTTACTGTAGTATTCAGCATCTGGAACCGTCTCACTGCTTCAGCTTGAATGTTGCTGATCCATCCATCTTTCACTATGGAAGCAGGAGCCCAAAAAAATTATGTTGAACCTGCAAACACCCAGGCATTGCTACTGCTTACTTTGCCTTTGAAAACAAATTTTACTGGTGAGACTGTTGTTATAAAAAGTCTTCAGGTCAACAAAAGACAGAAATAGTGGGAAAGCTAGAGGTATCCGAGTCCGACATTGTATCGCAAATCACTCCAATATCAAGCGAAAAATAATAATGGGATACATCAGCCTGCATCTAGAATCTATTATATATATATCTTTTATATATTTTACAGATGTAATTACTTTCAAATTATGACTGAGGAGCAAAGATGCAATAAGTCAGTAAGGATGTTTGAAACAGCATCTTATTGGTCAAATGCAAAAGTTTGGATTGGGCTTGAAGTGAAGAAAATAGGATCTGTAATTTAGATAAGAATCCAATTTATAAACATCAATCTGAAAAAGATAATCATTTATGCAGCAAAGTTACTCTTAAAACTTCTCTTTTATTAAGATGTTTTTTTTATAGTTTCCACAAATTGTTGGAACAAAATTCCTTCCATAATCCTTCACACTCACAACGGTTAATCCCTTTTCCTATTTTCATCACAAAATGCCAGCATGTAAATATTTATTTACATGTTTTCAGTATAAATTGTAAAAAGAAAATGAAAAAAAAACTTCATTCATAGATTCCTAAAGTTTTTCAGCAGGAGTGTTTTCAGAGCGAAGCGACTTTGGACTCTGATCCCATCAGAATTGCATCAGTATGCTGTAGCAGTGAACTAACAGGCTTTGAATCTTATTTTCTCAGTCATACCAGCTCTTCGTCTAACCTTGTTTTCTTCAGTTACTTTTTTATTTCAATGCTCATAATTTAAACGGCTGTTGATTAACTGTAAGAAAAGAAAAGTCAAGCTAATATGATCCACATCCTGCACATGTAGCCCTTTAGCTCTAAACTCGACCGGATCCACTTTGCTTGTCATCACCTGACTTCCCGCCAGAACGATCCGCTCTCCTCCACACTAATATGGAGGTAACGGGCGCGGAGAAATAAAAGTGCCGTGTATTTCGGACAAGCAGCGGTGCATCTGGGATGCTTCCAGATTCTGCTGAGGGGCGTACAGTATATGGTGGAGAAGTGGTTGGGCTTTTGGTCATCACAGAACACCCACAGAGAAGGTAGGAGCCTCCATAGCCCCAGCAGTCTATTGTCTTTGTCCAGTTTGTCTTAATTGGTCCTGGGGGATCCATGAAATGGGGGTGTGCAGGAAACACAGCACATTACAATCAAAGCATGTGCATGCAGCTGAAGATAAAGCTGTTATCTACTGTGTTCCTCCTTCTGTATAAAAGCAGCTCCATCCTGTTGATGCTCCCAGTAAACACCTCACCGCCCCCTAGTTCAGTCCATCACTTGGTTCTTGGGTTTTCCTCCAGCAGCCCTCATCTCAGAATAGGACTCCAGGGGTTAGCAAGGGAATGAGCCACATCTGATCGTCATGACAGCCATTTTATCCACAGCCAGCATGGACTGAAATGCGATAAGAGAGCTGAGAAGAGCAGGAAGCTCATCCCGGAGGGGGCAGTTTCATTTTCAAACGCTGCGCTACGTCTGACTCTTTGTAAACAGAGTGTCTTGTCAGCAGAGGAGCATGGGGCGTGCTGGCTAGATAAACTTCCTGTCTGGGAGGGTGCCCCCAAAACACATCCCCTCTATTCTATCTCCTATCTAAAGAATTTCTGGAATATATTTTTTCCAAATACAAACTAAGAAGGAGAAGGTGTTTTTAGAATGGGATCCCAAGGCTGAGACATGGAAGCTATTCTCAAAAATGACATCTGGATCATGTGTTCAGCGTCAGAATGAGAGCACAAACCTTTAAATGCAGGTTTTAGTCTGACAACGATGATAGCTGTTAGCATAAGCTAGAGCTTAACTGCCAAGTTTTAATGACATCTCTAGCCTCTGGGCTTCTTATATCACTTCATGCTCTTCTAACTCTGCAGGGTTAAGGTTTAACAATGTTTCTGTAAGGATTTGATCTCGTGCAAAAGACTGAAAATAAACCAAGATACAAGGTGTGTGATCTCTGATCTTTAAAGGGGGGTGCGGTTTGTGGATATTCGACCGTTAAAGATTAGAGCTTGTAGATGATCTGCCAAGATGAAGAGATCATATGGATCATTTAGGTCACATTCTATAAATTACAGTTCTATGCTGAACCACCAACCCATCTCATGTACTACGTATTCAATCTGACCCAACAATCATAGCGAATAACCGTTAGTGATGCACTTTCTTACCTACCTCCTTGCTTGTGTGTGTAGTGGTACCCGCATGTCCGAGAGCCGAACGGAGGAAAAACTCTACTTCCGTTTCGTGGTACTAGTTCGGCTTTTCCCCCAAAGTAATGTGCAAAGTTTGCTCAGACACGATTCTCACAACTTTAAAGAATTACTCAAAGTAGTTGATCAGCAGCACGAGCTCCTTGGCCAAAAAATATTTTTCCCACACTACTATTCCACTTCCCAGGTGTATTTTTATGTTCTTTGCATTTGTTAGGAACACAGCTTCTATTTAGATTAAAATCTCATTTGAAAGGGTCTTTGACCTAAAATGTCTGTTGTTTCGTGTCTTTTATGACTTTTTCACATACAGTAATGGTTTGGTTACACTGAGCAGAGGCTTGTCACTAATTCAAAAAAATATGCTTAAGATTCTGATAGAACCAAAATTGTAATCTTATAACCAAAACGTTGTGACATAACTTTGCCAAATTACCCAGCCCTAATCTTGCAAGTGATCTAAAAATCCCTTCATGTTGTTTCTTAAACATGTAACAACACATCAGTCCTTTGGAAATGGCAGCAGGCAGTTGAATATAACCCCCAGCCCCTCCCCTCCTTGCAGCAGCTCACCTCAAACAGCAAATACTGCCACCACGTCCCAAGAGAACATCCTCTGGATGTGGGAGGCAGACAAGGAATATAGGCTTAAACCTTTTTGAAGCTTATAGTTTGAAGGCTCTGGTTATCTTGAGCTATCTCTATAATTATGCTGCTATAGGCTTAGACTGCTGGAGGATATAGGGACCACTTTTCCTCATTCTGCTTCATTCTATCTTTATCCTCCCATTCTGCAGTATTTGTCAGTTCAACCTCTAACTTTATGATCTCTCTGCTTTTTTTCCTCATAGTAGCTTCATGAGTCTGTTCATGTTTGGCTGTGACTCCATCCTGGAGAGAAACATCCACTGGGCTGCTGCCATCAACACCATAGATTATAGATGAAAGAGTTGGACCTGTTTTTGCCTCTACATGTTCATCCAGCAGGAGAGAATCCTGCAAAGTGACTGCATGCAATCAGCTGAAGATTGCATCCAGATAGAAACTTTGAACCTTTAATCTGACTGCATGATCTGATTGAACTAAATCTATAAACAGTACTGAGCTGAAATATTGGGAAGTAAATTTAATATATACCACAAACTACTTGATATTGTAACCAAAAGAGGATTCTATTAAATGCATGACTCTACTTTTGGGCGGCCTGTCACATAAACCCTCTAATAATCCACTTAGAGTTTTGGTTGTAATATTAGAAAATAATATAAATGTTAAAGGGGTATAAATACTTAGCTGTCTAGGAACTAAACATAAACTTTTCATTTATTCTTGCCGTCCACACCAAGGCTGATCTCAAACATAAAAAAACTAATAATGAGTAAAATTCCTAAACCTAACAGACAATAAAAATACATGACACCACAGGACATAACTCAATATATAATCTGGGTTTTAATCTTTTTTGGGGGTTTTAAGTTCACCCTCAGAGTATCTGCAAAGTCTCACTAAGGTTTCATGACGACGCAAGAATAATCAAGAAAGATATAGAACAGTGGAACCAGGTGCTCTCCTACCTTCAGGTCGCTCTGCACCATCTTGTGGAGGTCCAGGAAGGGCTCCTTCATAAGTTCAAGGTTGTGGTTGAGTATCCTGACCAATCCTTCTCTCTCAACAACAAAAAGCCGCTGAGAGCCATCGCCGCAGTGCACCACGGCAACCGGCTGCCTCAGACCACTCAACACCTCCTGAGTGCAGTAGCAGTTGTGTTTGTGTTTCCTGGGAAACACGGAGGAGAAAAAAGGTCAAGGAATGATGGTGGTCCTCAATATTCCAGCTATGGTGGCGTAAGAGGCAACGGGGGATTTTAAGTTCCGAACAAGGAATGAACAGCAGGCAGAGAGATCAGCTTTTATGACCTGTACCCTTCATCTCTGGAGTTTAAAAGCCTGAGTAGAGAGATTTCTCTAAACCTCTGAGTAATTTAGAAGTAAAATCCCGTTTAAACGTCATCTTTCCTCTCTAATATCTAACCTGTGCTAACCATGCTGCAGATTTATTAGGGTGTAGCGATAGAAATAAAACCTCAGATCAAATCAAAGTTTAAAACAGTTTTGAAAACTTTACTCCAAACTGTTAAACATGTTTGTGAAAAAGGTGGCGGGCCTCGCCGCCGCAAGCAATGAAAAAGCAACACTAAGTGTTTGCAGCTCACAGTATTACACAATCAGCTGGTTTATCAGCTTTGAGTAAACATCTAAGAAGGAAAAGTGACAGCCTTTCTGGACACCAGGATTATTAGGAGGGCAGTGGTGTAAAAAAGAAAATCCTGATTTTACAAAACTGTAATCTTCATAAACAACAAATTTGATTAACTAATACAATAGATTTATCACCCAGACCTAAGATATGTTGTTTCATCACTGCTGGCCCTCGACCACGTGCAACGTCTCCCTCATGTACTATAAGCCACCAGGCTTAACTAATCCTTGACTTTACTGCGTTTTTATCTTTAAATACTTTTAAGTTTAAAGTGAAATAATTTGAAGCAGCCTCAATGATCTGTAATTGTTTTACTGGATATGTCTTTTTTATTTTATGTACCTGTCATTTATTGTGATGTATCTATGTTTAATGTATCTTATGTAACTGTGCTGCTTCTTGGCCAGGACTCCCTTGAAAAAGAGCTTTTTTAATCTCAATGGGATTTTTTTTTCCTAGTTAAATAAAGGTTAAATAAAATAAAATAAATCCCCCCGATTAGAGCTTGTTGTACATCATATAACCAAGATGCTAAAGGCAGATAGTGTTTGCACGTATGTATTTAAAATGCAAGAGTATTATTTACACTTACTAAAAAAAACGCTGTCCTGCCGGTTTTAGAGGTTTCCCTGCTTTAGCACAGCTGATTATATTGATTGCAGTAGATCAAAAGCCTGTTAATCAGCTGTCAATTAAAATCAGCTGTAATGAAGCAAAGAAACTTCTAAAACCTGCAGGACAGCAGGCCTCGAGGACCCGCTTTTTTGCAATAACTCGTTGGGTTGCCATAGCGACCCCTGCCACCGAGCTTAGGGGTTTCCACATTTCCAAAATTTTTGGTGAATTTAATGGAGCCGTGTCAAACTGTTATCTGATGGGGTCAGATAAAATAAAACGCTGAGAATTAGAGCCACAAACCTGCTGAGATCTTCTATCTTCTCATCTTCCAGGTAGTTGGAATCTTGCCCGAGGGGATGTCTCCGTTGATAATCAGGAAAACATAAACCGGCGCCTCTCCTCCCGTAGTACTGGCAGAACTCATCCACGTCAGCTTGGAACAGCTCTAGTAGAGACAGCAGACGCACACTTAGCTCACTGCTGAGTCTTCACCATCAAAACTACGTAACAGCTTATTCCTGAGGCTTTTATGTTGTTTAAATCAATGTTGTAGTTATATCCTATCGACGAAAATAAAGAAATATATCGTAATATAATTTGCCCGGATTCATTAACACATAATTAACATAAATATATAATTTTAGCATTAGCATTATCACATAACACCAAGTATTATGGTGTCATTTAGGCCTACAGCCTCTGCTGCTGCCTGGAGATACACTGATCCAATTATTGGCTCAGATATTGACTAATTAGCTGGATCAGAAATCAGATGAATGATGCGGATCCAACTTTCTTTCCAATCATTTTTTTTTTTATATTATCATAAACAACAATAGAGTTGCCCTAATATAGTCACTTCATTATAATCACTAATTCTGGTTTTCTAAAAAGTCAGAGCTACAGGTTTTTCATCAAAATGATAACATTTTCAGAAATAATACAAATGCAGAACGTCTACAATGGAGCCGAATAAGGGCACTAATTTTACTTATAAAAAAGTATATGTATAATTGTTTTTGAAATGTTGGCAGCTCCGAAATACATAAATATTTATCTCTGGATTATTCAAAAGGATTCTGCACCAGTGGAAATAGTAGGTTGAAGTCGCGTGAGACGGTGTTACCCAATCCTAGAAGCTCCGTGGTAGAGCTGAGAAAATGCGTCTTCTCTAAGTTAGATTTCGCATTTTAACCCGAAAGAAAAAAACAGGAAGTAAATTGAATGTGTTTTAGAGCTCTAGTGCCGAGTGAAGGAAGCAAAGACGTTCAGAAGGAAAGGGCAGGTTGAAGCTTCCCTTCTGAACTGTTAAGATTACGGCTGAAACAATCAATCGGATTAATCAATTATTGAAAGAATCGATGACTTTTTAGTAATAATTAATCGCTGACTGGAGTATAGAGACTCTAAAACAGGCCTTTAGCTGACAGAGTGACCCACTTAGAGCCGTAATAATACCAAAATTGTAAAGAAAATCTATTGACACTTTGCATTTAAGATAAAATAGACTTTTTCGTCTATCAATATGCTCTATCCAGAACTCAAATGGAAAAGTTTTAGTTTCACCTGGTTTAATTTCTAAAAAGTCTTCTCTAAGGAACCTTTGGCTTAAGATAAATGTTTGAACTGGATAGCATTAGCAAACCCAGCAACTGGCTAGGAAACAGTGCAGATTGAGACAGGAGGAGCTTGAGTCTGTCACTCACTGGCCAGGAGGAGTTCAACCTGGATTTTTGAGATAACAAATCTACATCTGCCCAGTTCGACTTAAAAATTGTGCTTGGAGACAAATTTCAGTATTTTAAATTTCACCTTTTTTCTATTAATTCCCATCATTTTGTTAATTCCCTGTGGCTCAAGGACTGCATGGTGTTTTAGTCAACAGATGTCCTTATTACAAAGGACTGCTTGGAGTGGACAAAGAAGCATTTTAACCTTTAATGTCGTACAAATGATATGCATAATATTCACTGCCCTCTTTGGCCACGCCTGATTTAGGCAACACTCCAAAAAAGCACAAAGTGGGTCGGAAGCATCATGATGGCAGGAAAGTAAAAGCAGGTTTACTAAAACTGATCTCACCTTAGATTTAACATCTGCTACGGTATATTTCCTGAATATCTTCAGTAAACAAGCACCAGAAAAACGCGGCAACTTGGTTAATCTTGGAAAACGTTGTGGCTGTTTTGCATTACCGGGCTGCATCCTGGAACAGCAAGCAAATTCAAACAATCGGCCTGTTCAACGCGGCTCGTCACCCAGAGTAAACAAAATGTTTCCATGGTGAGATACATGCCTTAGCTAATTTGTGAAACAACGACAAGGTGTTTCGCAAAGCAGACAAAAGGTGAGGCAGGAGTTATCCTACAGCCAGTGTGTTCACAGAACTGTTCTGGTGAGAAAACAACACGGTCTCAGAGGTACTTTGAGACCTGAAAACAACCCTGACAAGAAGGTTTCCTCCAGACGATCCTTTGGAGGACGGAGGAGAGCGAATACATCGGTGATAAAAAACACAAACAGGACTCTCCCAGTCCCTCCTTTCATCTCCTTCTCCTGCCACACACCGCAAGGGCTGACCGCATCACATACTGGAGGTGATAGGATATCCCCTCAAACATCTAAACACAACATGGAGATCAAACACACGCAGCGCTCCGGCTATACCACCCACACACCCGTTTCGGCAGTTATCTTAACCGTGCTGCTCGGGGACCTTGGGTGCAGGATGAGGGAACAAGCGGAGGCAGATATGAGGGGTCTGGAGGAGGTGGGGGCAGAAGTAAGACTCCAGGCAGTAAATATCTTTAAGGAGAAACGGGAGCCAAGTACGCTGCCTAATCAAGACACGGCAGTCAGTTTTATGGAAGCAGGACGATAGCTGAGAAATGCTTTAAAGGCTCCTTCTTTAACCTTTGCTGTCTGAGTTTGTGAATGATTAAAAAAAAAATCTAAAAATACGATCAAACATGTAATAAACTTTGTTTTCAAGATTCTGTTGAATGTGTTTAGAAAAGTTTAAAACAAAGGGGACAGAGAGGCAGGAGAAGGTGGCGGACAAAGGGAAACAGTGTCCATGCTCCTGGCTCCCCAGCGCTGAACTCATTCCTCCATCTGGTTATCTTCCAAGCCAACCTGGGTGGCCCACCCAGAGCACTTGACATCTTGATGCACTTCAGCAGTTTTACATACACACAAGCTTTGTAGAAAAATAAATGTGTCATTCGTCACCACATATGCTGACCTGTGCGGGGCTGAGCGAGGAGCAGGAGGAGGAGGAGAGGATTTCTCTCCTCTTGGAGCCTGAGCGTCTGTCTGTCAATGTCGGAGCTAGAAACCTAACTTCTCTAACAAGTGTTCTTCCTGCGCGGCGGCCTGTTCTCTGCGAGGGCGCTGTCACCGCTCTCAGCTGATGCTCTGGTGTTGAACGTTTCAAGCAAACAAACCGTTTGATGCGGGTGGATGTCTGTGGATGAACAAAGTGTCTGAAGCCGTCCTTGTCTTCCAGTTTGAGCAGAAAGTGTTTAGAGGGCGCCTGAAGCATTTGATCATTTTGGATGTGTTCTTTGAAAAGTCGACTATGGAAAACTGTCTGAAGAGCAGGTGCTTTCAGGTGCAGAGCAAAGCTGATGCATCATAATCTCTGCAGCTACTAAACCTGTCAGGGTCAAACAGAGAAGCAGAGCTTTTTAAGAAACAGAGCTTCCAGGAGATGTTTCCTGCTTAAAGGAGGAAAAAAGCCACTTCCTGGTTTCATGTTCACCAAGTGACATTACAGATAACCTGTGAGGAGCTATCCTTGGCCAGCTGCATACTTCATGCATGCTCTTCATGCACTTATTCAATCTTTAATTGTCCATCAGGTGATCTTGTGGAAGGTAAAGCTGGCACCAATATATCCAGATGCTGATCCAGCTTGTGGAATATCCAGAGATTCACCTGGTACATTGCTTCAGCAGGTGTTGATCCTGGCCAGGTTCTGAGATTCTATTTTATACTTTATCTGACTTCCTGCAAAATTCTCTCTGTGCTGCTTTTGGAGACCTACTGGACTTAAACTTTCTGAACTCAAAGGTTAAGGTGATCAAATTTTCACTTTTAATGGATTTTTTACTGAATTGGAAGGATTTTACATCCTCTTCCTCTGCTGTTATATATATATATATGCGATACATATTTAAACCAGGATTTTGCTGTCTGGTGTATTGAATTTGTCAGCTGCCTATTTGGTTTATGATTCACGGGGAAACTTAAAAACATAAAGAAATAATAACCCTTATCTTGTGGCTTACAGTGGCATTTTGCTTAATAAAAAGAACATTTTCAAAGCCTCTTCGAAGTCCTGCAGACATGCAGGAATGGATCTTCAGAGAACTGCAATGTAAAAACATCGTTATTCTCCTATTTGATCGGAAAATGGATAAAACCAAAAGCGTACCAAACATGTTTTGCTGGAGGGCTGGAAACCAGTGAGGTAACTGAACTCTGCATTTAAACACTAAAGTACATTATTCACTTCAGGGCTTTCTATTATAGATAAATAGATAGGATGCAAACTACTACCGATGGAAATAAAGTGTTTAAGGTGCTTAAAACACTAGGCAGCCACATTGGATTTTGAGGGAGGTGAGTTTTGACCCCTACCTGCCTGTTTCTCCTACCGCATCACTTAATGCACCATGCAGTCAGTGGAAGGGATCACACCCTACCTGTCTCTAAAAAAAAAATACACCCATGTCGCTATGGTTACCTGTCATTTATTTAGCTGCTAACATCACCAGCTTTTCCAAGTATCCTATATGATCCAATTAATATTTTTTCATCTCATTTTAACAGAATCTGACCATAAGAGAAAAGATTTAAACTACAGCAGAACTTTGTTTTCCTAAATATATAACAGTCTGTGTTAGTAACAGTTACACATAATACTCAGCTGTTTAAAAGTTAGGTATTATGGGTAACAATGTCCAATCAGGTGAATGAAAGTACTGCAGCACTGAGACACTGAAGCAGTGAAAGATGGAGAGACAGACGAAGTTCCTGTGAGATCAGGGTCTGAGGGAAGGTTTAAAAATCACAATACTGATGGAAAAGGTCCAGAAAGCAGGTGAACAGGTGAGGTTTGATGTCAGGTTTAGATTTTGAAGACAATCTTTAGTCAGTATCTCATTATTTCTGGAGAACTATAACAGTTAAGGTTTGAATTTGTTTGAATCTTAGGCATGCAGCCTGAAGCTGTTCTGTATGTTTAGCAACAGAAATGAGCATGAAAACCTGTAAATCTTTCAATTTTTATGATGTTATAATATCATGCAAGGACATGAGGGTCCGAGGCAGGGAATCAAAGTGAGGGAAAAGAGCAGAGCGACAGGTCAGACAGAGGAACCCAGATCAGGAGAACATTGAGCTGCTAGTGAGGAGCTTAGATGGATATTAGATAGAGGAGGTCTGACTTTTATTTACTGACCTACTTGGAGTTTAAGGAGAAGAAGAAAGCTAATTTATTAGACTTTTTATTGAAAAAACTGTGTTCAGTTTCAAGCGGTTTTACCAGCTGTTTTTATTTCAGGTTTACCATAAGAAGCCTAACATTGAGGAGAATCATTGTGAATATTGCTACTGGAAAATTTAGGTTTTTTTTCCAAATCATTTATATGTTAAGTTATTTTCTTTTCAGAAAATTAAAGAAATGGCTCAACTGCCAGTCAATCAACATAAATGCATTTTTGACCCCCCAAAAAACATGAAAACATTGAATAATTTTTTTCCTTCCTTTTAGTTTCGTAACATAAAATGATCTTTTATTTGACTCTTCCCTCTGGGAGGCGACCTTCATTTAAAGGGCAACAAAATTCACGCTGTGAAACCTGCTGGTAAAACATGAATGTTTGACAGAGTGAACGTCAGCAGCTGCTGATGTCACACAGTGAGCTCGTTTATCAGCTACCAGGGAAAATAAGGACAGAAAGTGACAAACTGACGTCACTCTGAGCTAAGGAAGCCCAAGGAGGTCATTAGTGGAGGAATATCTAGATTTTTTATTAACAAAGTTGATTAATAAGGTAAGGTTTCCAACATATTTAACTCCTTTTTACAGCCTCTGCTCTAAGCAGCAACAGGTGGATGTTTTCATCGTTTTGATGACGTTAAAGCTCGTTGGTCCAGAGTCCTTACTGGACTTTGCCGTTTCTGCTGTGTGGAAAAGTTCTACTCTACTCTCCTGCTGGGATCTGCAGCCGGATGCAGCATAAAAAGAACCAGTTCAATTCATTGCTGCAACTGGAGCAGCGACCAGTAGCTCTGATGGACGAGTGAAGATGGAGGAGTGACAAGCAGCTCCAAAGTTTTCCCAATAAACCTTTCTAATTCAAGTTTATTTTACTAACAATAAGATTAATTTCGCCTTGATAACAGTTAGAGACCCGATGGCGTCATACAGAGAGCAATTCTCTCTCTGCATCACGTCTACAGTGAGACTCTGATCCAGAGTCAAACTCTAAAGGATCATTCCAAACAAATTCTTATCTTAAATGTACAAATGCTTAGGTACGGCGAGGAGCGACGCTTTAGGACTGAGGTGAGGCGACAGCTGTGTCAATAAACTGGCTCTCAAAAAGAAATAAAATCTGCTGTGAAGTTTGACACAACAGAACACGTAAGAAGCAAAAACCAAAACATAGAGTGCTTCCTTTCTGTGGATGTTTGTATGGCTGACCACACAGGCCATGGTTAAAGCTGCATCCATCTCCCTTGTTGGGGCTGTAATTACCTGGTATGTGCCCCCTGCAGGTGTAATAGAACTCCCGGCAGAAGTCCTGGCAGAAGCGCGGCAGGTCCGGCTCTCTGTGTGGCACCCGATCCATGTCCAAGGAGTGGAACAGCACCTGGGCATTAGGGGAGCAGCGCGCACACTTGATCTCCTCCAGGAGATGTCCGCAGTCTGTGTTGTTGGTGGAGAAAATCTGGAGACCACACACAAAGAGAAGCAGCACCTTATTAAAAGGGCCGAGCGTTCGTTTGGAAACTTCAACTCATGTTACTCAGCATCATGTGGAGCGAAGAATCAGCCGCTACCCAGTCACATAAACACCAAACCAGGACAAACAGGTTAAAATCTCCTGCTAGTTAGCACCGGCTCCAACAGAACCATCAGTACAGGCCAGGGTTGCTGCAATACTATAATTTTAAACTTGATGTTGACACCATGAAAAATATTAGATACCCTTTCAGATACCAGGGGGAAAAAATAAAATAAAAACGTGAAGAATTTGGCTGTTTTAATTTCAAGATGAAGCGTTTCTTAAGTGTCCAAATAAATCCCAAATGAATAACCCAAATATAACATGATCTGACACACCACAAATCTAAACTTAACTAGGGCTGAAACCATTGGATAACTCGTGATTAATCAATTATTGAATTAATCTTTTACTCATTGATTAATGATTTGTTGCTAACTACAGTAGAGAATCTAAAACATGCCTTTAGCTGACAGAGTGACTCACTTAGGGCTGCAATTCTACCAAATTTTTAAAGAAAATATGGAAAAAATTTGCATTTATGATAAAATCAATATGCTCTATCAAGAACTCCTCAAGGGGAAATGTTTTAGTTTCATCTGGTTCAATTTGGTAAAAAGTCATCTTAAAGGAAACTTTTGCTATCCGATTATTAATCGATTATTCGAAAAAATAATCGACAGATGAACAGATTTGCAAAATAATCGTTAGCTGCAGCCCTAAAAAAGTAAAAAAGCAAAACTATGAGAATGACAGCTGCCTGGTGTCAATATCCCGTCATATTTGTGATGTAAACCTGCTGCAGACGCCGCTAAAGCCGAACAGCGTGTCTCAAACCTAAAGATGTTTTTATCAAGCAGGAAGGAGGCAACATGAGCTTTATCTCTCAGGACATCCAGGCATCCCTGACCTCAACATTTAAAAAACTTCAAAACATTTATGAAGCTGCTGATCCAGCCTGACCCATGCTATGACATAAGGGGTAGAAAAAAAGCCTTTTTTTAATAAATAAATCACAGCTAAGTTTATTCAGACTTTACAACATCTACTGCTTTAAAGTAAACCACAAACTTTACTCTTCCTGCTGGAAGAGCACGGCGAGAAAGGACCCCATCCTCTGCCCAAAATCCAACCCAAATAGAGTCTAAAGCAGAGTCATTACGCAAAACTACACCAGGAGGCAATCCAAAAGATATTAGCAGGATTATTTACGTAACAAATTATCTTTAATAAAACACAATGTAATCTGTTTAAGGTCAAACGCTGCGCTGTTTGGGCAGCCAAGCATGCCGGTGGTGTTTGGCTCTGTGTGAGGTCCATGTGTAAACACCAATTTGGAGATAGGCAGGCCCATCGTTCCCACTCTGGTATCAACAAATTAGCAGTCTGTCGAAGTCAATTAAAGCAGGGGACCCAGGGCTAACATATGGACGCCTTAAACTCGCTCGCTCTGCAGAACCGGCTGCAGCTCTGCACAATACCTGCCGCTTTAAAGTGGCACGGGGTTCTGTTGGTGCAGGAGGTGCTGGAGACCCTGACAAAAACCCGATGTTCCGGTGCAAAAATATACAAACATACAAGGAAGGAATCTGCCCTTGGAACAGGAGAAAAATCTTATTTATTATTCTGTTTTGGATGGCGAGCTCCGACCCGGATCACGTTTAGTGATATCATTTATCACGCTGTGCTGAGAAAGCAGCTCTGCGGCTTGAACCCACTGTGTGACACTGTATGTTCCTGTGTCACGGTGCCGTCCAGCGTTGTGGGCATGCCTGCTCCGCTGCTCTGAGGTGCCCATTGATTCTGCGTGCCATGGCCTGGCACACGGTCCACAGAGAGAGGCATCTGTGTGCTCTCAGCCGTGCCCCGTGTCCATATGTTGCTGGGACCCACTCCAATGTTGCCATCATCCAAACCAGAACAAGCGGCCCTTTGTTTGTTGGGCTTTGCTCAATCTCTGGAGGCATAATTCCCGAAAAGAGAAAGAAAATAACAAGCTGGCTAAAAGTGGACAGAACCTTCCACACAGGTTGTCAGAGATCATTACAATGGAGTTTACAGAGCTTTAGAGAACAGCCGTAAGGTGACTGTCACTGCATCACCATGTTCTCCACTGGTAAGAGTCAGAGATCCCTTCAACTGGGATTTCCTTGCTCTTCTTATTCTTTAATAAACCCCAGGGCAGCATCCAAAATCACTTTTTTTCACTTTTTTTGATCAGAAAAACACAGAACCATCTCTTCTGATTTACAAAGTTCTGTTCAGCTCCTTTCAACCCAACACTGTCCTGCACAGTTAGTGTGAGCCTCAGTAAGGATGGCGAGTCGCTCTGGTTTGATTAAAGCTCTCAGAGCAGGAAAATACGTTGTTTCTGTTGTACAGGCAGAGGGGACTGAGGAGGAGGTATTCTATCAGGATTAAAAGTAATGTTTGTAAATGTAAAGACGCACCGTTCGTTCTGTGGTTCATCGGATCAGGTGAAGCTCAGGCATCGCTGCTCCTCCATCTGTTCTCCTTTGATAACGTTTGGCTCGAATCGTTATTAAAGGTTTTCTTTTTGTTTAAACCGAGAATGATGTAACATATGTTATCTTATCATGTAAAGAAGGAAGAAAAAAAAAATTATTTGAGCTCCAAAAACTGACCCGATAAAAAAATCAGCAGTACATATCAAAATAATCTGCATCTGGATCAGTTGATATCTACGGGTCTTTGTAGGAATAAAGCTGAAGCTGTAATCCTGAAAGTAAAAAAAAAAATAATAACGATTAAACCCAGAATTCTAGGCGTGTCATCGGTACCAAGGTTACGCTTTCAGAACCACTGAGATTCTAGCTTATACCAGCCAATAAGGTGTCAATCAAAAGCCAGCAGCCCCTCCTCCACATGTTGCTGAGCACTGTGGGTCAGCGGGCTGAAAATAAAACTGATCCTAATCCAGCTGTTTGGAAACATCTGGAAAGGCATGAAGTGGAAACAAAAAGAGCGACTACGATGATATTGACATTCTGATTACATTTTTATATGATGATATTTGCATCATCGTATAAAAACCTGAAAGGGGGGAACATTCTGCTCAGTTTGCACTTCAAAAACTGTAAAACACCATTCTCTGCAGCCCTGGTGTCAAACAGGAAATAACATCTCAGAGTTTTATATTAAAGGCGTTAAAAAGATGAGGGGGAGGTCTGGGAAAAGGTGTAAGTTTGCTGGTCAGGAGGAAAAAAACAACACAACATCCTCTGAAAGCTGTTGGGGGGGGGCTTCTCCCATTAGTGAAACCAACAGGCACAATGGTGTTGTTGTTATTCTTTAGCCATAATCAGTGGAGGCTCCGTGTGTGGGCAGAGTATAGGGAGGAGGAGACCTCCACCCCCCACCTCTTACTTGCATGACTTGAGCAAATTAAATGATGCAATATGGCTTTTTGAGTCACACAAAGTGAGGAACCAGCCAGCATCAGGAGGAAGGCAGAGGAGGCTCCGCCGGGTCTCCTCTCCCCCCGGACTGTAGGGAAGCAAGCCGCGCTCTGAGCGCACAGCTCCGGGTTAAAGCAGGGGAACTCTCCTACCTTCAGCTGGAAGCAGGATGGGATCAGGCGACTGATTGCCATGGTAACGCAGAAGCGAATTGGACACAGATAAACGTTACACCAGCATGTTCAAAACACCCACCTAATAACACCGCGGCTTCTTTCAATTAAATAAAACTAGTTTGGTTTAATGAGCAGCCTGCAGATATTCTAGTTTTTTTTTTACCCAAACCGGCAGCATCCCTGCTTGAACCTACCCGGGCATCCCCGCGGTGCAGGATCTGATAGGCGGCTCTCCTGGTGGGACAGCAGGAAACGCGTGGGTACAGCCTGTGGCAGATCTCCCCGCTGCTGCCATCCAGCAGCACCTTCCGCTCCCTCTTCTTGAGGCGCTTGGGCAGGCTGCCGTCGTAGCATCGCCTCCTCCTGGGGCTCAGCTCGCCTCTCTCTCCGAACTTTGCGTCCCCACATTCCCACACGTTCACCGCGATGGCCAGGACCAGCACGAACTGCAAATGCTTCATGCTTTCAAAAAAAAAAAAAAAATAAAGAAAAAAAAAAATTCTTCTTCTCCTAAAATTTCTCCCCAGCAAAACAGTTTATCAGGTTGAATTTTTTTCCAAACAGCAGAAATACTGTTATCAATAAATTAAACTGTTCTTGATTTAAATGTCTGAAATAAATGAACAAACTCCTTCCTCAGAATAAATGTTTTAGGTTGACATTTACAAAGGTAAAATAAAAAGAAGAAAAATAAAATTTATCCTAAAGAAATGTCCAGTAGAGAGGAGGCTCCTTCAAACCGGCTCGGCAGCTTCGGAACTAAACAACATGAGGAAAATAAAAGTTGTCTCTAAGTGCTCACAGCGCTCACATGTTTTCTGCTGCTGTTTCCTCCTTCTTTTTAACCAGCGCGCGAGAAGCGGGGCGAGCGCACTGACGTATGACTTCACGGGGGCGCGCCTTGGAATCACGGTCGCGCCCACGTCGAGGTGGAAGGTTTACCTGGCAGCGCGTGCTCAGCTCCACGCTGCCAGAACAACCATCGGAAGCAAGAGGTTTTATTATTGGGTCATTTAGCTCGCGTGGTCGCGTTGTGACGTCACACATTTCTGTGATAATCTTTAATTTTTCAGCTGATCCAAAATCCATCTGAGGAGCAGAACCACCAGCTGCCATCATCATGGGCAGATTTCTGAGATTCTGCTCAGAGATAAAGGCAGTGGTGTCAAAAGCACACACATTTGTTACTTAAGTAGTAGTATATGTAACGAAAGTAATTTATCCGTGGGATTATTAAAGTATTTCTGATTCTGATTCCTGGTTGATGGAACAGGTGTTGTGAATGAATCGGTTCCCAGCTTGAAAGAGCTCCTGCACTCCAAAAAACATTCTACAAATGAGTAAAAATGTTTTAAAATAAGTGTATTCACCCTTAATGTAAGCCAGAAAATAAGATGATCTGCGAATTGAATGAGCATTTTTACCCTCGAAATAAGATAATTAGATATTTTGCCCTTAAATAAGAGACTTCAGTTGTTTTTTTCTTATTTTAAATGTTAATGGTCTTATTCCATTGGCAAAGTGTCTGCTCAATTTAAGAAGAAATCCACTTATTTTAAGAAATAATTACTAAATTAGATTAACAGTTTTTGCAGTGTGTGTGTCTCTGAATGTGTGCATTGATGACTGAAAGCCATCTTCTGCCTCCATTTATCTGTTTACTACAGTGTGTTGAATTCATGTTAATGTGGATTTAAAGACATTTCAATTAGTGGAAAAAATTGCAGAGGGAAATAAAAAAAAAGTCTAATCAACCAAAACTTTTGAGACCCCCATGCAGAACCTCCGTGGACCCCCTAGGGGTCGCGGACCCCCTGTTGAAGACCTCCAGAGTAAAGTATAGATACCTAAAAAGTGTACTTAAGTACAGTAACGAGCAGTAATGTAACCAGAGGTGGGTTAAAAAGTACTTTTAGTAGTTTTACTGGCTATTTATCGCTTCTTATAAATAAAAAGCTTGACTGCTCCATCCTGATGAGTAACTTTACTAAAAAACAAACAAGATTGTTGAATAAGTGCTCCAGACAAACTTTGTGTTAATTTGAATTTGAGTCTTTTTTTGTACACAGGATTCCTTACAGTAAGGAGTAGATATTATCACTGGTTTAATAAGTTTAATGTAAAAATAAAATTTGATTTGAAAAGTGTTTCATCTGCCTAGAACTGTTTTTTTTCTATTACAGTTTTTTTTATCATTATTTTATTATAGTTTTTGAAATAACAGAATTCAAACTTAACTTTATATGTTGCTCTGTCATCATTTTAACTAAGTTCTCAGGGACCCAAACAGGGCATCTAGGAGCCATTTCCACCAGATGCCAAACAAACCTAAATCCTAAACACAAAGCAGGTTCATATCCAGGGTTTTTTTCATCTACCATATCTGATGACATATTTAAAGGTTCAAACCCGAAACAGTAGGAGCCGCTTTTCTACAACCCTTCATCCTGACATCGCCTCTGACTAAAAAATAACGATTTTTTTTCACTTATCCGCTTGAGGCAAAGAGTGATGCATGAGGGAGAGGCGTTCAGGCTTTTCTTGGCGAACGGCGTCACGTTTGGAGGAAATTACTCTGAGCCTCTCCAACCAGACATCCTCTCCATGAACACAACCTGAGATCCATGAACACCAACAGCACGCTGGGTGACAGAAGTAACAAGAAAAACCTCCACTTAGTGCTGAAAATAAAAAAGTTAGGTTCTCTCTCTGCAAGAACTATAAGAACATAAGGAACACTTGATTGCAAAAACTTGCTTCTGATGTAATCAGCACTGCAGAAGCTGATGAGGGCAGGTCAGTCTATTAGATCATGCTTATAGTTTGGTTTTAAAACAATAAATCACTGAACTATAGACTCTGAAAATAGAAAAAAAACTGTCTGACGCTTGCATTCCACAGGTATTATTATGAAGCACTTCCCTCCATTAAAGACATTTCACCCCAGCGCTGCGTGTCATGAGCCCATAACATCATCAATCACTACTCACATCCCCTCCATGGACTGCTGCCCCTTAGGAAGAGGCTTCGCAGCATTTGATGCAGGACTTGCAGGCTCTGCAACAGCTTTTCCCCCGCTGTCATAAGACTATTTAAACTCTAATCAAGACACAAATCAAGACTCTGCATCACACTTTTAAACATCAAATTTGCTCTACATGGCTCATTTTTAATCCTTTAAATAGAACTCAACTCAATGTTTCCAGTGCATTTGCCTCATATTCTTCTGATCACTGCTTCACTTTAAACATTGAAAAGTTTGTTTCACTGCTAAGCTGCTAATTGACTTCTGAAAAGCTGTATGCATCGAAATTTAATTTTGTATACACTCTGTTTATACAACATGACAATAAAGTTTGTCTAAGTCTAAGTCAAAGAGGAAGTGACTTTTACAATGAGGCTCCCCTTAGTTATGGCTAATAAATTGCACTTAATTCATATGTAAACACACTGAAACTCCCTCATAAGTGTTTATTATTATTGATTACAGTGGCAGCCATTGCAAAATGGTCCTTCCCAGTCAAACGCCAGCCGAACGGCAGCCCACTTCCCTGCAACTCCCAGCAGAATCCCCTCCAACTTCCAGCAAATGGAGTGATGCGCTATTTCTCCTGGGCGTGCATATTTTCTCTGACTCCACCCTTTCACTAAATTATAGGGAGACAGTGCTTCTCTTCAGATCTTAATGTCCACAAATCATGACAGAAAGATATTTTAGTACAAAGATTGATGTTTAAAAAGGATTTGTAGGGGAAAGTGGGGATATTTGGAATGTCTACCGCTGTTATTACGGGTTGCAACATAATCTGTTCAACTATATATGTCATCTAGTGTTGCTGTTATTTATCATTTCAATCCAAGTTACCTTCTTTTAAATTAGCATTTGTAAAAAAATTTAGCATATAACAAGTTTAATGCATAGTGAACACTTGGAAATGAGCTGTAAAGAGTTGACAGAGGATTTCATTCCCCATCTGTTAATTATTTACTGGCCTTATTGTGAAGTGCTGACTGGCACCGTGGTGGGTAAAGTATGGCTGACCTACTGACAGGTAACTCTTAATTTTTCGGGTTTCCTGATAACAACAAATGTTGAGCAATTCCTCCTGCATTACCCCCTCCAGAAAAGTCACCGGATAGTGATCTTTAGGGGGGGTTAGGGGGAAGTTACTGAGAAACAACAGCTCTCACTTTTTTAGAACAGAACCTGAAATCATTAACTTCAGCAGCACCTGTTCTTACTTGGGGGTCCGTAGCTCTCAGCAGATTCCCGGCTCTGCTTATCTGCAGGAATCTGGAGCAGCTGGAATCCACCAGTGGTTCGTTTGATTGTGGGTTATTATGGAAATGACTTTGTGAGCTATGAAGCTGTGGCAAAAGCCCTCTCCCTCTCACACACACACCCACAGAGTCTTTCCATCACCCGAATGGAAAGGTTTCAGGACTAAAACGCTTCTCCTGTTTTACGTCTGTAAAGGAGCGAGGGAACAGAACCAAACAGAGAGAACAAATCTGCCACCAACAGCACTGTCACCACAAACACCATCTCCAAGAGCAGAGAACAACTGCATTGTGGAGCAGCATGAAGACATGTGGGATGCAGCTGTGGACCCGAGCGGAGTGAATTTATGAAGGACAGATAGACGAAGAGAAGCACAGCTTGACAGAACACACTTCTGAGCTGAGGGAGCCAGAGCGGCCCTCTGAGCACCAACAGAAATCCAAAGAAAATGTCCAGTTTGAATATCTGACATGATAACTTATATCTGCTCGCATTTGGGTAGAAATCTCAAAATTTAGCTTATTATCTCACTGAGGCAACAATCTGATGAATTCTGGGTTAGTTTCTGATCAGCCCAGGTAGTAATTGTCTCTATCCGATCCGTTCTGCGCATACACTATCCAGATATACATCTGGGTCGTCCTCGATTTTATTTAAAAAAAAATACCTAAATGACTTTTTCCCTCCCCAAAAACAGTAAACATACTAAAATATAATGTGTTAAAGGTTAATAATGTGTTTCCTGAAAAAAATAAATGCCTTAAAATCCTTTTTGTTTTATCACTCGTCTCTGCCTCATCTGCACCGGAAATGGGATCCTACGCTACTTCTGGTGGCTAACTTTTTCGGCTTTGGATTTAAGCATAAATCTAGTCTTTTTGAGTTTTATGTTTTCGTTTCGTTTTAACCTTATGCTATATAGTGCGTAATCTAAAGAAAGAAACAACTAAAATGCAGATAAACATGGTTTAATCATATTTTGCTGGACTGCTCTGAGCTTGTCTGATGATAACGTCAGAGAAGCAGTTCAACCAAAAAAATGTAAAAAGCATAAAAATTGTAAATTTTTTAAAGATGTGCATTAGCATTATTTAGTGAGTTAAGGATAGAAATAAGCAGTTTTAGTGTCATAATTACATTATTTATGGACACCAGGATGTATATCTGTCCGCGCTTGTGCAGGGATGTTCGTGCTTCCGGGACGGATCAGGTAGTGACAGTAATAAATGGTATCTTTATTAAATCCATAGTAAGCACCTTATTTTAAGCTTTATGCTAATATGTTCACATGCCAAGGAAGCTCCTTGGACTTATTGTAACTAACTCATAGACTGATCTTTGTTGTTAGTAATAACTTCATAAAGAGAAAAATAATATTACTAACATTTTAAAAGCAGAACAGTTTCAGCTGATGCTATAGCAATTTTTTTTTTTCCATCTCAAGCCTCAAACAGTTTTAGAAATTAGATGTAAAACTTGCTTAAGAAATAGTAAGGATACTCATATGTTTAAAACCTTAGCATCTAAAATAATATCAAATCATTTAAATCCAGGAC